CTCACTCACCTGCCCTTCAGAGGTGCCGGGTGCACAGGGGCCGGCCCGCCTGGCCTGGTCAGACCCAGCCTCCAGGTCTGCGTGGGAGGGCGTCCTGGGGCCCAGGGGGGTGTCGGCTCTGCAGGCGCCTGTGTCGAGGGCCCTGGGGGGAGGGAACCCCAGTCTCAGTGCTCACTTCTCCCTGACGCAGCCCCCCCCGGCTGCCCCCTCGGTCCAGGGCTCTGCAAAAGGTGGGCCCGGGGGAGCCCCAGCACCGAGGAGGGAGTAGTGTGAGCCCACACCCTGTGCAACCATGGGCACCACCAGCTGGACAGCCCTGCCTCCAAGGCCCAGGGTGGGGGTGGGGCTGACCTCACCCATAGCCCAGCCTGTGCCCCTTCCCAGAGCCTCACTCTGACCCTCCACACAGCCTGGAGCCCCTCGAGGCCCGAGAGGTGGTCCCATGGGGGCAGAACGGGCTCAGGCAGAGGGAACCTGGACCTTTGACACACTATGGGACTGGGAGGCTAAGTCAGCCGGGGTCCCCGGGGCCATTCAGAGGGACAGGGCCTGGGCTCGGGGCCTCCACGTCCCTGGGGAGTTGGGACCTCTTACCCCAGCACCTGTGGGGTCCTCAGAAGGTTCAGGGTCTGGCCCCCCTGGCGCCAGCAGCCCTGCAGAGGGGACAGAGCAGGGACTCAGGTGCCCCGAGAGGGGAATGTTTTGGAGGAACTGCCAGAACCACAGGGAGGCCCGAGGCCACCAGCTTCCTCCTTGCTCCCAGCTCCCCAATGCCGGCTCCCTCCACAGTGCTGCCACCCCGCCCAGGACACCTTACCTAGAGGAACCTGCTTGCCAAGTTGGTCCGTGTGAGGCCTCTGCAAGGGAAGCCAGGGCTGATGGGACACGGGAAGGGCTGATGGGACACGGGAAGGGCTGATGGGACACGGGAAGGGCTGATGGGACACGGGAAGGGCTGATGGGACACGGGAAGGGCTGATGGGACACGGGAAGGGCTGATGGGACACGGGAAGGGCTGATGGGACACGGGAAGGGCTGATGGGACACGGGAAGGGCTGATGGGACACGGGAAGGGCTGATGGGACACGGGAAGGGCTGATGGGACACGGGAAGGGCTGATGGGACACGGGAAGGGCTGATGGGACACGGGAAGGGCTGATGGGACACGGGAAGGGCTGATGGGACACGGGAAGGGCTGATGGGACACGGGAAGGGCTGATGGGACACGGGAAGGGCTGATGGGACACGGGAAGGGCTGATGGGACACGGGAAGGGCTGATGGGACACGGGAAGGGCTGATGGGACACGGGAAGGGCTGATGGGACACGGGAAGGGCTGATGGGACACGGGAAGGGCTGATGGGACACGGGAAGGGCTGATGGGACACGGGAAGGGCTGATGGGACACGGGAAGGGCTGATGGGACACGGGAAGGGCTGATGGGACACGGGAAGGGCTGATGGGACACGGGAAGGGCTGATGGGACACGGGAAGGGCTGATGGGACACGGGAAGGGCTGATGGGACACGGGAAGGGCTGATGGGACACGGGAAGGGCTGATGGGACACGGGAAGGGCTGATGGGACACGGGAAGGGCTGATGGGACACGGGAAGGGCTGATGGGACACGGGAAGGGCTGATGGGACACGGGAAGGGCTGATGGGACACGGGAAGGGCTGATGGGACACGGGAAGGGCTGATGGGACACGGGAAGGGCTGATGGGACACGGGAAGGGCTGATGGGACACGGGAAGGGCTGATGGGACACGGGAAGGGCTGATGGGACACGGGAAGGGCTGATGGGACACGGGAAGGGCTGATGGGACACGGGAAGGGCTGATGGGACACGGGAAGGGCTGATGGGACACGGGAAGGGCTGATGGGACACGGGAAGGGCTGATGGGACACGGGAAGGGCTGATGGGACACGGGAAGGGCTGATGGGACACGGGAAGGGCTGATGGGACACGGGAAGGGCTGATGGGACACGGGAAGGGCTGATGGGACACGGGAAGGGCTGATGGGACACGGGAAGGGCTGATGGGACACGGGAAGGGCTGATGGGACACGGGAAGGGCTGATGGGACACGGGAAGGGCTGATGGGACACGGGAAGGGCTGATGGGACACGGGAAGGGCTGATGGGACACGGGAAGGGCTGATGGGACACGGGAAGGGCTGATGGGACACGGGAAGGGCTGATGGGACACGGGAAGGGCTGATGGGACACGGGAAGGGCTGATGGGACACGGGAAGGGCTGATGGGACACGGGAAGGGCTGATGGGACACGGGTAGGGCTGATGGGACACGGGAAGGGCTGTGGGAACTGGCCCTGGGGCTCCGGCCAGTTCCGATCTGAGAGAGGACAGGACGGGAGTGACCATGCTGGTGCCCGGGGCTCCTTCTGGCCCGACAGGAGAGGAAGCTCGCAGGGGAGGCACCCCTTCCTACCTTGGGCCAGCCTGGGGCCTGGCTCCACCATCCTCACCCCGAACCTGTGGGCACAGGGTGGCATCCGGCTCAGCACAGACCCCGGGGGAGCGCCAGGGCAGGCAGCTGGCAGGGCTCCCCCAGCAGGACTGGGATGCACAGACTGTCGCATAGGAGGGGACGGCCACCCCCAACTTCCCATTAGAGGAAAGTTGGGGAGCCCGGGGAGGGCTCAGAGCAGGTGGCATCCCCCTTCCTCGGCAGGAGAGAGCTGCCACCCTCTGACCCCAAACCCCAAGGCGGTGGCTGGGGAGGTGCCCACCTACCTGGGGCTGCTGAGGCCAGACGCCCTGGTTTCGGGCCTCGAGCGCAGGAGAGGCCACCACCACCTGGGGAGGGACGGCAGGGGGGTGCTGGTCAGGGGCGCCAGCCGCACCCCAGGGCCTGTGATATCCACTCCCAGCCCTGGCTGCCTGCCCACACCCCACGTCTCCACCTGCGGGGCGGGGCTGCCCTGGCCTTGGCCTCCAGGCCAAGCGGGGCTGGCCTGTACTGGTCACTAAGCTATTTCTAGTACAACTTTTAAAGCATCCTTGCTTCTTGGGAAGTTTACTGTGAAGATGGAGTCTAATTGGACTCACTTCCCCGGTGCAC